CATTTGAGCAATGCAATTGTAGTGGATAAAATGGTCAATTTTCCGTGCAACACTGTACGGACTGTACGCTCCTCACCGGTTAAGAGTTTGACCGAGAGTTGTCTCCTTTCTTTTCTGGCCTAGTACTGTTCTTTTCTATTTTGCGCCGGTCAAACTGAAGGTCACATCGCTACAGAAACTAAACGAAGTATATATTTACGTAAGCATGCATGCATGATGCATGTGTTAATAACATTCGCACTTACATAGACATGTATGTATGTCCGTATTGAGGCAACAAGCTTGCTACGTGTTCTTTGTCCCGCTGACGTAGCGATGACATTTTTACGTAACAACACACCTATTCGGTCTCAGACTGGTAGGTTGTTGTAAATTATTACTCAGGTGACCACTAGGCAAAGACGAACTAATATACGCTATATGTCATTTCGTATGTGCTTAGGAAAAAAACAACGGACTTGTATAACGAAAATAAGTACTCTTGCTGCGTTAAAGTTTTTTATTTTCAAAAACACAACAGTATGTACCTACAAGACTTAATATAACCTTACCCTATCCACAATCCGTTCAATTCGAATAATTTTGGCAGATATGGGAGCACCTTTTCGTCATGAAGGAAATATAAAATTATTTCCGAAACTGCCTGTCCCTTTTTTGAATCTTTTTTTATTACTACTGTTTTCAAGTTTAAATAGACTTCAAAAGCCTGCACACAAACCATAAAATCCAAACAAAAAGTTAGTAGGTCTCCCAGGCATTTTAAACTACGTATTACATAGTTTTTGGATATTTTTGTTAGAAAAAGGAACAATCATTAAATAAGTGTTATTCGAACCTGAAAATCATTTCTTCCCTAATATGCACTGATATACGTATGTGATATGAAATATTCCTGTTAATTCGCGTTATGTATAATTTGTTACATCCATGAAAAATTGGAAATTTAATTAATCGAATGTTTCATGCGTTAATAAAGGACCAGGCACTCAGTCTGGTTGTAATCCACTGCCATAATTTGAAATTCCTACGAATTACCATTGACATAATATGATCCCCTTAAAAATTTCTAATTTAATGCAATTATCTGTATATAATACATAATTGAATAAGGTTTCATAGATTAAGTAATGACCAATATCGTATTGTAGTTGCTAAATATGTATTAGGAACTGGAACCTCGTCATATCGTTAACAATGAAAACTAATTTACTTACCAAACGCGAGACCAAATTGTCATTGAATTATTAATGAAGTTGCATAATTTTCATATTTTAATTAGATATATAAATTAAATGGCAGGTAATAAACATTGTCGTAGTTATTAGTGTATCATTCCATTAATTCCAAAACTTCGTTCTGGTACTTTGGTACTTCAATTTGTTCTAATACTTTTCACATCTTACATATTCCGTATGAATAACAAAAAAAATAATTAATTTTTAAGCCACTAAAAGGAATCGTACTTTTTTGAGTGAATTCCCTCGAAGGGAATTTAAAAGATAGAGTGATTCAAAAGGAAGGTTTATATGTATAATACATGCATAATATAGTAGGGAAACACTAATAATTTTAGNTGTTTCTATTTTCTTGTAGAATTTTGAGTTGATATTATTCATTATCATTATTTTCCTAATAATCACACAGACAAAATTATTTGATGGCACGTCTATGACCTGATTTAACTTTTCTTTATAAAAATGGCACGACGGTACTTAAAGGTTCGCCATCCCTGCCATATATCATATATCGTTAATTTTTTTAGGTTCTCTAAACGTCTATCATTGGCAATGGGGAATTGCAACGAACGATACCTACACAATACATGTGTGGTAGTCTGGCCTCTGTTTTGCGATGCCGACCACGGCCCGACCAACAAGAATTACGGTGTATATACATCTAATATAGTATACGACAGCACAACGCAACGGGCCGTTTTGCCGAGGCTGACCGCGCTGCGCCGGATAGTGGCTGGCATGTTGCCGCCGGACGTCCCATCCCTCGGCCGCACCATCAGCCAGCTGGCCATTTGTTTCGCGTGTTTCGCCGCCGTATTATTATTATTATAGTCATTATCATTATTTTCCGTTCGGTTGTCCGCTACTCACCAAGCGATGGTCAACGATCCGATAACGCGCCATCGGAACGGTCGTAGCCGCACTATAAACCCCCTCAGTTTTTATATCCGCTGCATATCGCAAGATTGGGATGGCGGTAAAATTACTTTGGCATATGACGCGTAAAATTTTTGAAAATCCCCTGAATTGAATAATGAACTCTTTTTTGTTACGGAAACAAAATAAAACTGTAATTCTTATAATACACAGCACCTTTATATAGATATATAGATACAGGGTGTCTTAGGAAGAATCTTAGGATGCAGATTTTTAAATATTAAACAAATACTTTTATATTCTCTTAAAAAACGATTTTTAAANTCTCGATAATAATTTAAACAAAACAAAAATATACATATTTAGTATCAGCATTGCACCCGTGCGAAGCTGGGGCGGGTCGCTAGTTAGCGATAAATAAAAATATTATCTTAGTACGAACACGAAAACCCTTAGGTCATGAATATACGAAACCACCCCTTCTAAGTACCCACGTAAATAAATACACACGTGAATTAATCGTGTATCATCATCATCTTAATATTAGAACTAACTGATGTCAACAACATAGAATGACGTGCCTGTAAACTTAGTTGGTCGGCTGACTGGCTCGTTCTCAATAAAGAGCGATGAAAGATGAAGTTTCGCACTGCTTCATTAAATTAGCGATGCGATTCGAGACCGATACGACAGGCAGTACATAGAATAGAGTCAGGACTGGGGGCGAGAGAGACTCAGTTTAGAAATTTACGATTGTAGAAGCAGATCCGGCAACAATAGAGAGAGGCGAATGCGAAGCGGCCGCACTTCGCTTCGTTTTAGCTCGCCGCCTGCCTCGAAGGATATAAGGATATAAGCAAGCACGGACGGAGGCAGGAGCAAATTGCTAATCGCTACAGACGTTTCTTTATCCGTAAAGTGTTTACCGCGGTGATAATTTATTACCTACGGTGGCGGACGGCGCAGAGCTATAATACCTCCGTACCAAACTTTCATCCCTGCGTTCGTCCGCTACTCGAAACTAATAATTTGTTCGCTACAGGATTATTCCGAAAGCAAAACACTACGACGAAACTCTATAGCAGTCTATCGATGATAGTATTTTTCAAGAATAGTGTTTATTACGTTTTTACACTGCTGTGCCACTTCTTTCGTTCGAAACAAAACTCGAACTATATTTCAATGTTTATTAATAAAACTAACTTCTCTAAAACGCATTAATAATTAAAATTAATATTAATGATTACGTTTTGTGTTTATGCTGATCAAATAAATTTGTTTATGTTAATTGTTACATGAGATTCGATTATAAATACTTATATTGACTGGACCTTTTGACTGCTCTAAGTGCAATGCCTTATTCAAAATTTAAATTTGTCTTTCTATTACTGTTTTCCCTCCAAGGAAGTGGTAATGGTATCCGCTTAGGCTTCAAAAAAATATTCGTTTCAAGGCTATTTCCTATTATTTGAATTTTAATTAGGCGCCAGTACTGAAATGGTTAGTTATGGTATTTATAATTCAAGCCGACCAAGGGCAAGGGTAATAAACCGCTGTATCCTATTACAGCTAAATAATGACGAATTCAATGAATTCGATTAATAGAAATAAATGTTAATAATTCATCAAAACCATCATCATAATCATGATCATAAGGTCGTTGGTCCTACGAATGGTTAGACTCGCACCTTCACTTTTTCCTATCCTGAGCCTAAACCAGTGCCTTCCACGTCCTTAGCTATTTATGATCGCTAGCTAAATCTAGGTCTACCTCTAGTTCTCTTAACTCCTATTTCTGCTTCTAAATAGCCCTTGTTTTTTCGTAATTATCAAAAGTGTAAACTTAATGGGAAATTGTGTCACTTCAATAATTTCCGAATGTGATGTCTCTAATTAAAGATAATCGCTATTAATTTAATAAAATATATACAGATCTATATTAAACAAAAATTAATTTGGCGGTAACAATTGGTCGGTTGTTTGGTTCTGTCTCGGCGAGACAGCTTGGTAATTCTACTAGTAAATGGAAAGTGACCTCGAAGTAACTGAAATTAGTGACTTATTTCAAAATTGTTTGATTTCGTATTAGCATTACCTTTTCTCCTAGTAATAACATCAACATTAAAAGTCGAAATTGATAATTTCCGCATAAACTAAAAAGATTAAGAAAAAGCTTGTCTTCTATCTTTTATTTTTGGGTACCTAAAGAGATTAGTGATATTTTGAGGTAATAACCGAGTGTTGTTATTCACGAAGTGTAAACAATACACGTCTTATTTATAACAATAAAAAATAACGTCATATACGCGTTTGTTATTGTCGTTATTACCGATGGTTTCCAATGTATCTTCAATTTCAAATCGTTTTTTTAATCACTTAGAAGTAAATCTGTGGAAAGTTTGGATATTTATTTAAACAAACAGGAAAAAGTTGTCTTTAAATAGGCAGTGACATGAAAATAGTTTTAACTTATCTCTTTAAGTTAACGTAATCTCGTAAGCTGTTGTTTCATTAAAAAATGCGACAAACAAGTAAAACAATAACAAAAACGATCTAGTAAACAGATCGTCATTTAGCACGCAGGCTTTGTCCATTTTTATAATGCAGGTAGTGATGCCTCCAAAAGAATCGATAACAATGTAACGACAAAATATCATACACCTTCAAATGCCATAACTTTTCGATCATTAAGGTCACAAGAAGTTTGACTTTGGCAGTTCAAATTTCGTTTCGTTCACATAGTACAAGTCAAACCTAAAGGATTTGAATTTCATTCTAGAAATTTTTATTATAAATTACCTTTTTTGTTTACAACTGCTTCGTAATATTTTCTATTATCACATAAAAAAACAAAGTTATTCTGTAACTTATTTAATAAAAAGTTACAATATAACGTTATTTACACATTATCAGTACTGCCAAAACGGTTTTCAAACATAAAGTAATCCTAAAAGTTTTCTAGGAGCTAAAATCTCATATAAATAATTTACAAAAATCAGACGGTAAATAAAATAATGAAATTTGTTCATGATTCGGACATTTCATTATCTCTACGTTTATATATTTCTTCTAAAATAAGTTCTTCAATCTTCATCCTTAAAGGCAACTTACGATGTGGAGGAATCTCTTTAAAATGACCATGCAAACTGAGAAGAAATTGAAGATCGTGATCTTGAGCAGCCATCCATACAATTTTTTCGGTTCTCTCTCTGTGTGGAACGCTGCCACCAAAAACTTTACTCTTAATTTCCTGATTAAGACTGCTGTTTTGAGTAAAGTCTTCTTGAGACATATCGTTAGTTTCTGGATATTGTAAGGGATCCGTAATGACCGTATCGGTTACATAAGCGGCGTCGTCATCTACAGATTCAGTTTTGATCCGTATTTGTGTTCGAGGCTTCGCCTTGTTCCACGGAGCAGTCAAAAGAGTTTCCCTGAGGAATTCCATCTCTTTCATGTAACGCCATTTTCTTATATGCAGCTTTTTGAAAATGAGCTTTCTATAAGTATCGCGGAGCATTTTCCATTTGGTTCTCCCTTGATCTTCTAGAATACAAAGATGGCAACAGTCGTGAATAAAATCTATGCTATACACACATCAGTTAAACGGTATTGGTGTCAAAACATGTGTACATTTGCATAATTGCTTGCTCCATATGCAATATATGAGGAATAATTTATTTCGTCGCATTTTTACTATTTTTGTCAACTACGTGTCTTACAAATTCAGTAAATCAACTCGTATGTCAATGAGTATTAAATTTGAAATTTGACTTCAAACAGAAACCTAACCTAATACTAAAAAGGTTAATTAGAGATAAAATGAACGAACAGAAAAAAAAACAAGAATTTTGGTCCTATGTGAGAAAAAAAATAAAATGGACAATATGAACCTGATTTATTAATCCACAAAACATTAACTTGTTTAAGGTTCAGCTGTTAAAAAAAAAAGCTATCTCCCCCACCTTCTAATATCTAATTATATTGTGGAGAATGACCGAAAATCGATGAAAAAAATTTTGGAGCGATTTTGGTCTGGAGCCCCAATTCTAGACAATTAATATTTTCCTTGTTCATTTTAATAATAAGCACATTTGCTTGTCTTATTCCTAAAAAAATATTTGTAACAACTTTTTTTGGATTGCTGGCAACAACGAGAAAGATAAGGGTGAGCCGCACAAAAGCGCTGCGCATGTACATGACCGACGACAGTATTGCAGCGTAGTGTATTGCTATGCATATGGAGGTTAAAGTGGATTCAGCAGTAAGGTGCGCATACTTACTCGTTATTTGTAATTTGGTCGCGATTTCTTGCCAAAGTTCATCGCGAGTTGTTGTTATCGATTCAGGCCCGTCAACAGTGGCACTCCTGTCCCATAGCAGAGGACGTTGTTTCACTTCTTCTATAAGTTCTGAAACGTTCAGCATGGCGTACTGAATTCGAAAAATAACACGTAGTGTACCGCTCAGCGACACTAAAGCGACTAAACGCGACTGTTCGCGAGGCTAGTTCGCGTCGTGCTTCCCTGCCGCCCGTTCCCCGTTGTGGCTGCACTCTACAAAACTCGGTGACGACCGCTAATGTTAATACGTACTATATTGGACGTACCTACATAATCTACAGTAACTTACACTTCATTGCGCACAAAATATCGAAGGCCAATTCATGGTCGTAACAAATTATGATATCGCACTTTTGATTATATTATTATGGTTATGGGAATTGCCTCCTACTGCTAATTTGATTCTCACAAAAGATAAAGGATAGTGCAAAAATGTGTGGATTTTATATTCAAACTCAACTCATTAGGAACAAAACTGATTTTTCTTTTAAATTTTGGGCAACTTTACACTTGGTATGGAATACGGTTTATACAAAAACCGACATTTTAGAAAACCGGTTTTCGAATAGTAATTTTTCCAGAAAACCGGTTTTAACCGGTTTCAAATTTTTATAAAAGAATTTATAAAATATTTTCTACTAAAAAACCGGTTTTCGAATTTCATAATTTTCTACAGAAAACCGGTTTTTAAAAACCGACAAACCCTAGTATGGAATATGGTTTTTCGGTTACTTGATCTTGGAAACTGTTGTAGACTAACCGAACTCTCAAAATTTTCTGATCAAAACATAAATAGAACCCTCAAAACCTTTAAATTTTATAACTTCAAACTGTTCATCATAAATTTTATTAATACAAAATATTTTATTCAACATAATAAATATTCTATTCAATACGCAATAGATAACGATCTAAACTAAGTAGTATCAGTAATACCGTAAAAACTATTACTATGAATCCTTTTCATTATTTACTTCTTGGTCTTCTATAATTTGATCGCTGTACAGTTCTTCATAGAATATTTTTTCTAGTTTCATTCGCACTATTAACTTTTTGTGCGGTGGTACTTTCTTTAAATGAGAATGAAGGCTCAGCAAAAACTGCAAGTCTTCGTCATTGGACGAGAGACGCATAACTTTAATGTGATTTTCGTTTTCAATCGAACCCTGTACTTCAATGTACTCCGGTTCGCAGTCATCGGATGGCCTCTTTTTCCTGCAAGATCTCAGCAACGTTTCTAAGTTGCTCGTTTCTTCGGAATCGACCACATTAATATCGGAAAATGACACGTATTCATCTTCTGATGGTTCCGTTTTTAGCATGTTGCCAAAAGATGATGATTGCGCCATTTTTGACATTAAACTAACGTCTAGAGTGCGAGGCTTTGTGCTCATAACTGCGTCCTTTAGAAAGCTCATCATTTTAAAATAGCGCCATTTCGGTTCTTCTCCTGTTTCGTACTGCTTGACAATTAGCCGACGGTACGAATCTCGAAGATTTTTCCACCTTGTACGAGCGACTTGTTCTAAAATATGAAATTAACTTTCGTACATCAAGAATTTACTAGCTACACTTAATTTAACATGATAATCCAGCTCAACAGATTCTTTATGAATTCACAAAAATGAAATGTAATAAGTAATGAAAGTGTGTGAAACATTGCTCTTTTTGGTCTCCGTCCTCATGATAATGGCGAAAAGTTTGCAAACTTTATAGTCTTAGGTAATATAAAAAGTGTAAATACAAAATGATATGGCTGTAACTTGTGAAAACGGTTATGTTATTAGCAAAAAAGAACGTGGAACTGCGTTTTGAAGGTCGAAACAACGATTTAGAATCTGTCGGGCTGTATTTTGCGTTTAGTCACGGTTTCAGCGACAGAGCGCGACGCGACGAGCGCAAGCGCGCCGCCAGTGTTATCGCGCCAGTCGGTGGCACCGCGTCGCGATCAAGAAAGTCGTGATAAATTACTTACTGGGGGCTCTTAACTTTGCGGCAATTTCATCCCATAGTTCTTCGCGTTTGGACACATCGTTAACTTCACATTCCAAATCTGACTTGTCCCACAAAAGTCGACGTGCTGCCACTTCTTTTATGAGTTGGAAGTTGTTCATGGCGATGACGCGGCAAAATGGCGGGCAACGAGAACTTCGCGCGAGAGCGAACGACGCGAACTTCTCCACAGCGAGAAATAGACTGTTATGTCGCACCGCTCGCTCCGCTTACGTCGCTCGTCGTCGTGTTGTTGGCGAGCGACATCACGTCGCCAACCGTCGCCTCCTCGCGTGTTGTCTGTTTTGTCCTTGAACGATCACCGCGATATTTCTTTCGAACGATTTTTCACTATTATAACGTACAGTACAATCTATACGCATTGTTGCCGATTATGCTAAATTGCTCTTATCTGGGACACAATTGAGTGACTTAATAAATTGTTACCACTTAAGGTTTGAATTTCCGTCCTTCTTTGTGTTAGGTTTTTAAAAATTATTTACTTACAGCAGAAATAACTATCAGCCTGTCAAAGTCAAAAAATAGTAATATCATGTACCTATAATGTCGCTTTTGTCAAAACAAATATAACAAACATTCTTCACAATTACTGTCTAACAATAAACCTTTAACATAACATTATAAATTTATATCATTCCTTTTGGCAACGTCGTCGAAATCGTTTATTTTTGAAACGTTTGTAGGTACCCATGACAATTAAATGTGATGCGGCACTATGAATTAGTGACCGACTTTTTCATACATAGCAGAACAGCAATCATTGGGCCAACCTCTGCCAGATCGGCTAGACACGCTATACAGTATTTCGTTGATTTATTATACTGTAATTGTGTGGTATTGATTAGAAATTATACCTGTTTATAGTAATTCATTGCTGTGTCAAATTTCAGGTTTGTGAAAAAAGCGACATATATGTTGTCGAAATAACGCAGGAGGAGTTATCAAATGATTGTGTTTTACTTTAGGTACGGGTACGGAACCATCTAATAAACGCTTTCAAAGTCTAAATTAAAATATCGTACTACATCATGTCTAAAAAAATGTAGTGTTACAGGCGAATTACGATACCGTGGATAGAGAAGGGTAGAAATGAGGAGGTATTGGAAGGAATAGGAGAACAGAGGAGTCTATGAAACTGAATAAGAAGGTAGGACACCGGACACCTTGTCAGGCATGAAGGTCTAGTCAGAGACATATTAGAGGCAGAAACAGGAGTTAAGAGGAAAAGGAGTAGATCTAGATTAGATTACTGTTCGCAAATAGTTAAGGAGTGGAATGTTCTAGTTTTAGGGAAATATGAAGATTAGCTCAGGATTGAAGAGTGGAGGTGCGTGAACAACCAGTCTTAGGACTCTCGACTTTATGATGATAACTACATCATATTCTTTCTCATCATTTACAGTCACTGATAAATAACTTTAACACGATTTATCCGACTTGTAAAAATTACACCTCTTAGAATTCCTTATTTTCTCTTCAACTCCTCTGATTACTTTTTTCTGATTGTTGCATCCCGAACAGTTCCAGTAATGGTTACTCAAAAATTATCAGAAATGATTTTCGTAGTTGTAACGAGGTTAGGAAAAACAGCCGGATTGTCAGAGATAATGCCTTTTAATATCATGTTTCACAAATACTGCGCTGCATCATCAGGATATGAATGCCTTGCTGGTCAACAACAACACGGCGTTGTGACACATTCATTTATTTATTACATTGCTTTTATGAGCATTTAACGGACAATGTGAGTACATGCTAGAATTGCCTAGAAGTGTACCTTCTTTTGGAAAGCACGTTATTGTTGTTTTTTCATTTTCTTTGCCAAATAGTCCATGAATGTTAGTAAACAATTAAGCCTGTGTCGACCGCTAGGTACCTAATGGAAATCGCCCGGTCCTCGCATGTAAATATTCTCCCAAAAATCACTTATTGGTAATGCATATATATAGTCTCTTTAGTTTAAGAAAAATCGTTTTTAACATTTAAATAAATAGTAATTCATTTTTTTTACTGTATAGGTTAAATAGTAATTATTTTCAAAGACAATATCACAATCACTTCGATCCTTTTTGTAATGGAGTCCTTAAAGGTAGGTGACCCATAACGAGAGGCGCATAGGTAGTAGCAGCGATTAAATTTTTATGTTGGTATTACGGTCACATTATCAAGCGTTAGAATTGTTTGCGTTAGTAAACTGCTAAAATTACGACTTTTCGTTCCCTGAAAGAATCGAATTGTCGGAATTTTCCCTGGCAACGAAACGTCCCGCGTTCAAAGACCGCATCCTGTGTCTATCTTGTCTCTGTTGTTATAAGCCAACGTTTCAATTGCGGTGAATAGTTCCACGATTCGTATTCGTAGCAACTGACGTTAGTACTAGCGTTTCCTGGCTTCTCTCTTGGAAGTCGCGCCCGTGTTGGTTGCTGCTGCCGGAGATATGCGGCTGCCGACACATCGTCGATCCTTCGCGTCGCGTCGCGTCGATTACAAACTGCCTGTCACACGCCATAAGTGTAGAACTGGCGTCCGTGACTCTTGCCGATAAAATGTTCGTTGTTTGACTTGTATTTTTCTGATAAAGAAAAAACTTAAGGGAGTTTCCACCTTAAAATTTCAATCAAAGTTTGTGAATAATTTCCAGGTGTTCGGTAGCATTTTACCTTTTTATATATATTATTATTTAATTTACATTCATCAATTAGTAAAAAAAAAATTGAACATCATATTTATTTCCAAAGATTCCGATTTTTTCCTATTTCATTTTTGAAGCAAACTGAAATAAGTTCTTTAAGCCAAACAAAATAACATCTTTTACCTGATTTTCCGACCATTTGAACCCTCAGCATTGAATGTGTACGTATCCTAACGGCAAAGATTCTAAGAATTTTACCCCCATTAGAAATTTTTGTCACTATAGCAAAGAAGAAAATTAGAGTACCAGTTTTTACCAGCTTGTTAGTATTTTTTTGTAGTTACCAAGCTGTTTCGCCCAATTATTTTACCGCTAAATTTATCTTTTGTGTATAGTTTTGTATATATTTTATTAAATAAACAGTGATTATCTTTAATTAGAGACACTACATTCGGAAATTATTGAAGTGATCTAATTTCCCATTAAGTTTACACTTTTAATAATTTACGAAAATGCATATATTTATCTTTGATAAATTTGTGCAAAATTTAAAAATTGTAGGAAGAATAATTAAGAATAAATATTAATTAACGTGAATTAGATGAGTATTTTACACTGATGGAACAGATTTTAATGAAAATTTGAACTATTTCTGTAGATATATATTGACAAACATATCAGAAAAGCTTCGGGATTGGGAGACGATTGCTGTGTCACAAAAAAAAAATAAATATGTGAAAGTACAGTGGAACTGTAACTTATAACGACCTTGATTATAACAACAATCGTAATTTCAATAGTTTCAGACCAACGCTAAAAATGTCGGTCTTAACGACCTAACGTCATATTTTAATGGTAGGAATCATTGAAATGGTGGTATTATTTCGATATTTCACCATAGGCATCTCGGACTGTCATAAGAAAAGTGACCCATAAACAATTGCTTTTCTTATCATTTGTCGGAGGATTGGATGATGAACGTTTATGTATACATTAAACATCATACATATTTGTTGGTTCATAGAGTCAATGATGTACAGATACATATATATATACAACACCATGTCAACTACATAAGGCCAACCCCTCATTTGGAAACAATCAAATGAAGAAGTTCTACTTTCACTCACTTTCACTTTGGAAATCGTTGATAAATAGATAGTTCATGCAAATGTTCATCTTATATTCAGTTTCTCTGAAAACATCCAGTTTTACGGAAGATCGGAAAACCTTCAAATATTATGAAACAAATTTAATATAAGTATTGTTTTTGCTTTTAAATCGAGTTGTGGGCTGGTTGAAACAGAAATAGTCTGGTGCAAGAACTAAATGGATATCAAGAAGCTGCTCATGTTAGCCCAAAAATAGTTGGAAGATGTTCCCATATTCACCATTTTTATTTTGTGATTCAGACCGTTTCTGTGCTACAAACGACCAGAATGGTAAATGGTAAGTACGGAAGGGCGGGAGGATAAAACCAATTAGCCCGAATTAGAATTTATCGCGTTGCCGGAACGTTTCGGGTTAGCCAAAGTCTGTTCCGGACTGTGGACCCTGTTGTTTTACCGCAGCTTTATCCGCTATATATCTATACATATAGTATCACACTCTGCTTGCCGCAGTGTTCCTCTAATGGTTCACTTTAGACGCGAGATGGACCTTTGACTAAAATTACTAGCGAACGAATACTTTTCGAATATTAAAGAAGATTTATTATCGCATTTGATTAGTATAATATCAATTAAATCACATCGTGCTAATTTTGAAACAAGCGATTTTAAAGTTTTTCATATGGTTACGATACTTTTATATACTTATGTTAAATGTCCAGGCAAAATTCTGTCGATATTCTAATTACTTTTATATTAAATTCTTGGAAAGAAATATATGGTTGAATAAAAACTTCCGTTTAGCGTGGTATCCTTCAAGAAGTCTACAATAGTGTTGATACCGGGAGATCAAAAATAATATTCGAGAACTTACGGAAACTAGTGACGATATGTAATAAATATGGTTTCATTAGATCACTTTATTGTATCGACAGTAAACCTGCCTTTTCATGATACATGGTGAAGGTACTGCACTACAGTAAAAAGGTTTGATTTTATTGCTAAAAGGATTATCCTTCTAGTTTTTCATACGTATCCTTCAGATCTCGCATTTCTTCTTGATCACAAGAAATGTCTGCATCATATTGATGAGTGCCGAATGTAATATATAAGTTCTGCGGTGAAAACCTAGATGTTTTCAATAACCACCCATTTTGTAGAATATAGGCTAATTTGAAATTCATTGAAAAAACATGTAGATTCCACAATCTAAGAGACCCTGTGTTGGTGCCTAATTTTTTTTGTTTTCCTCTTAGTTGTAATTCTTACGAAGCTGGTAGAATTCAATTTTTCCGCGCTTGGCATTTTTAATCTTCGAAGGAACTGACTTTTCCAGTTTCATAAATGACTACCTAAAACGCGAATTCGCTAATTTCCGCAAATAAAACATCCCTAACAAGTATCTACATTGGAGAGAGGTTTTGAAAAGCCAGCAAGGCATTTGGATGTGTTGGGTAGGGTTGAGCAACCGGGCCGGTCGACTAGTCGCTAGTAGATGGACGGGTCGGGCCGACGGCATCGTCAACGCGCGGCGACGACTGGCGTGTCGCGGCGGCAGCTTTGTATAAGCACGGTCAGTAATTACGTTAAAAAGCCTGGGAATGCGTAGCGGCACCTCACAGGAAATCCGCCGTGCAATGCC